AGAGAGAGAGCGAGGGAGAGAAAGAGAGATCTTAGAGAAAAATTATTACTTTTCCACGGTGCTTAATTTCCCGCACCCCCTTCCCTCAGTTCCCTCAGTTGAGACGTCAAGACGATAAAGCATTTAAAAGAGGGTAAAAACTTCAACTACTCAAAATCTACGAGTGCGAGCAAGAAATTACGAGATTAACAATAATAATAATAATTATAATAATAATTAGAAAAAGAGAGGACAAACTTAAAATGATGTCGAGGTTTTAAAATAATGTACTGGGACCAGGCGACTCGCATCGTAATCATAATGAATGTCGAGAAGTAACGAGAGAAGAAAGGAAAAGAAGAAAAAACAACAAATAAAATATAATAAATTTACTTAAAAGAGAGAGAAGGAAGTGAGATCATTTTTACCAAGCCGATCGTTCTCGTTTCAATAATGGGAGAGAAAGAAAGAGAGAGAGAGAGAGAGAGAGAGAGAGAGAGAGAGAGATAAGTATACTCAAGTATACCTTGATTTATATCGAATACGGCATACTACTCGCGGTGAAGTAGGCCTCCTCCTTTCGAGAGAAGAATCCGCTGTCCGTTTTCTCAACTACCCTCTTCTTCTTTTCTTTGCCTCCCCCCTTCCCCCTACCTCCTCCTCCTCCCAACCATCTCCCTCTATCATTCTCTCTGTGTCTCTCTTTCTCTTCCCTTCGAGACTTTAAATTACGATCCGAAAAAAATATCGCAGTGGAACACCTGCACCGACGTTCTTCGCGTAATTGCTAACATTTATCTTAATAAAAGCGGTACTACGTTTTCTTAAGACGACGTAAAACCATACGAACGTGATCGTATTTTTCATACTTTCGATCATATTAAAAATATCTTCCCCCTCCCGCCCCACCCTACCTCCCAACGCCGCTCGGTGTGAATAATTTTATCGCGAGAAATATAAATCAAATAATTGGAATCTTTAATTTAACCCATTACCACTATACGTTGATGTATATAAAAATCGATAAAATTAAATATGATTTTCTGATATGAATGAGATTTAACACATCGATGACTGACTAAATAATTCTAAATAAATCGATATCGATATTAATTAACGTATTATATTTATTTTTATAATTTTTATTAAATATATTTATTTAAGATGAATGCAAGTATTTCTGAAAAAAAAACAAAAACAAAAAAAGATAAATCAAGCAAATAATGATTTTACGTAAATAGAAGAAAGTGATGCAGCAACATTGTTCGCAATTCGGATCTGGTTATGGAAAAAATATCGCGGGTAAAAAATTTGCCGGAATATTTCCGAATTTAAATGCGTAATCGTAAATAAAAATACGAGAACAACAGAAAATATTTGTATTACTCTTTTTTTTTGTTGTTTTCTATTTGAATGAAAACGATTTGCATAATATTCAAGCTGCTGACGTAGAATATCGTTGTCCCTGTTCGACTGTTAGAAACGGACTAACATAAACGTAGAAGAAACCAAATGATATATGCTACCGAAAAGAAATAGTGTCAACATTACGGAGAGCTCCAATGAATACGAAAAAGCGTAAGCGAAAAAAGGAAAATGTTTGTAGCTGATAAATAATAAGAGAGATGTAGTTCTGCATTTGCATTTGTTTAGCACGATTTTCTCGAAAACGAGGTCACAAACTAACCAATGTTTCTCTTTCTTTCTTTCCTTTTTTTTTCTTTTGACCTAATTTTACTCGTAGAATAATTAACAATTTTTTGTACCGCTTGTTAGGATCGAAAAAAATAACACGTTTATAGAATAATATCGTATTGTCAGAATATTTAGATAATATATATAGATAATTTTTCTAAATAATTATTTTCTAGATAATTGTCACCAAATATTTCGTTAATTCTTTGATTTGTTGATTGATATTATTAATCAGATTCTAATAATAAATTAAATTATATTTAATAATTACAGTATGTTTTTTTCTGTTCTTCTTATATAATTATCATATGACAAAATTCAAAACAATAATTAATACTGAATTATTAAAACATTCACATTGGTAATTTTTACCAAACGCATATATGCGTTCACAGTAATCAAAAGAGTTAACATGATTAGTCATGAACTTTCTTCCTTTTCTTTGTTCGCGAAAACGCAAACGAAGATTAAGAATAGAAGAAAGGGATAAACGAGAGGAGTAAAGCGGTCGTCAAAATGGAAATAGGACAATTAACGAAACGCGACGATTCCTAATTTTGTCAGTCGACTTAACCTACATTAAGATCTCGCCGGAAATGGTACTAACGTTTCGAACATCCATACAAACGAATACACTCCTTTGTTGTTGACTTGCAAACATCTACTGCAACTCGAACAAGACAGCAAGAGAAAGAGAGAGAGAGAGAGAGAGAGAGTTAATTGGAAACATTGGGAACAATAAAGATTTTCATCTTCAGATAAACTAAATTTAAGAAAGAAAGAGAAGGAGAGAGGGAGAAAGGGGAACTCTGGGGATGAAGGGGGAGGGGGGGGAGAAACGTTTAGTAACCTAGCTAAATCCGACACTGACAATCTCAACACAAACAAGAATCGTGCATCAAGGTGCATCGAATATTCCGATAGCTATTCAAATCCGTTTATCTTTAATCGATTCCACCCCCTCGCTCCCCCCGCCGACCACCTCCTCTTTCCCTTTCTGTATTGCGATAATTGCATTCTAACGCACTAGTTGGCCTTAATTTTAAAACCACGATGGTTCGAAATCAAATCAATCGACGACGAGGAATCCTTAACGATTGATTCAACACTAATGAACGTTATTATGATTAATTTTATATTTTCATTTTAAATTATTTACGAGATCATTTATATATATATATATATATATATATATATATATATATATATATATATATATGTGAGAAGAAAACGAACCAAACTTAATATTGTGTATACAGTACAACCGTGACAGTTTTTTTGTTTTCATATTCTTTAAAAAAGTTTATAAAAAGAAATTTTTGTCGAGAGAACATCCAACGAGATTGCTTTAAAACTTATGCGCAAGGATGTCGTTTAAAAGAAAAATTCAATTAAATCAGACAGAGTCACCAGTAAAACTATATATTATATTTTTCTACAATGCAATATTATAACTATAATCTTGAAATAAAAATAATATCTATCCGAAAATGAAAAATAATCGATATACTAAGTGATTTAATTAAAATGATTGGTAACGTGTGTTTTACACACGGTGGTAGATCTTTCATAAAAAAAAAAAAATCAAAAACCTACCAAACGTATATTTTCTCATTGTTAAACAAAAACCCATGGGGATACGTGTGGTGACGATCTGGTTAAAAGAGAAAAAAACAACTGTACGAAGTCCTGTGAATGTAATAGTGTAGATCAACGTAGTCCCTTTTTCGGACGTAGTCGACCTTGAAAAACGTTCCTCTCGAGCCCTAATCGACTTATTCTCCACCCAACGAGACACGACCTTATATCCTGGGCGGGCAGACACGTTTCCGGACGTGAAACTCACGAGACATCAAGAATGCAAACACCCAAACGGTAGCTAGCTTCTTTTCTATCCCTTTTCTGTTTTTCTTTTTTTTCTCTTTTTTTTCACTGCCATTATTATCTTTTTCTTTTTCTCTATTCGTAGGGGACCGGTGGGGTGGGGTAAGGTTAGGAAGGGGGTGGGATCGTCTCTCTGGAAATAGCGACGACTCCGGTTAACATTGAGACCCACCCATCCTCATTCCCCATACAGACCGACTAAAAAAGAACTAGATGAAGCAGAAAAAGAGAGAGAGAGAGAGAGAGAGAAGAAAGAAGAGGACAGGGAGGAAATAGGTGGGTGTAGGGGGAATGAGGGGATAGGGGGTTAGGGGGAGAAGGCAGCAGCTCGACGACGACGACTTTTCAGATGGGGGAAAAGTATTTCGGAACGAGCCGAGCGTGCACGACGATTAGAACGATGCTACGCTAGGAATTTGCTCGGGAATTCCTTTTCTATCTCTTTCATTCGGCAGAAAGAGAAAGAGAGAGGGGATCCTTCGATTTTTCTTACCCCTTCGTCTCGAAACGAACCCAGGTTCTTTCTCTCACTCTGTCTCTCTCGACTTGACGCGATAATTAACGCGAGACGTATCCGTCCCCCATTTGTTACTTCCTTTCTAGTATTATTTCCTTCCTGTATATCTTGTTCTTTATTTTTTCTTCTTTTTTCTCAAGCATTTCTTCAATCGTACTCGATTGATACATTATATTTATTATCTATTATCTATTATCTATGTAAATATATTAAAATGAATCCCTGTTTCTTTTGGTCAGGGCATAATTTTTATAAGCATACAAACATTGTTTGAGTAAAGAAGTAGGGAAATTAATATTTACGTATATTTTATTATGCAATTAAAAATCAATTATATATTTTTCACAAAATAATATTAAAATTTGATATATTTCATATATATATATAGTAAATAAATTTGTGAAATGAGTCAAATTACTTTAGCACGCAAAACTATTGTTAAATAATATCGATAAATCAATTCCCGAAAGAAAAAAAAAATAGGAATTTTCTTCAATGAATCAAAAAATAGATAAAGATAAACAAAAAGGAGATACAATCTTTTCGGCAATTAATACTTAAGGCATCGAAACTTTCGGCAAGTTAAAGTTTTTCGGTTCTTCATTGACGAGAGTAAAAGAAAAAAAAAAAAAGAAAGAGAAAGAGAAAGAGAAAGGGAGAAAGAAAATGAAAGAGAGAAGTACAACTTTCTAATAACTCTACTCCTAAGAGAGAGAAAAGTTTTCTAAAGAAACAACCTTGGAAGTATATAAATAGAGAGAAAAAGTAAGAGTTAAAGAGAAAGAGAGAGAGAGAGAAGAAGAACTAGAAGAGGAAGAAGCAAATCGAGTTCATTCTTGGGCTGATGTCAAGAGTTGGAACTAGAGTGAGTGGGATGGAAGGGTGGGAGGAAGAGGGGTGGTGGTAAGTAAGAGGAAAAGGATACTACCCTCTTTTGCTCGTCTTCCTTCTCAAACCTCCTCCGATTAAGAAACTCTTCTCGTCCTTAGAAACGAAGAAATCCAAGAGAGTTCCTCCGAATATGGGAGTGGTGGTGGGGGGAGGAGTGTAGGAAAATCTCTTGGGGGTGCCGCCAACGTAGTTCAAGACAACTTTCTCCCCTTTTCTATTCTAGAATTTCTGGAATCGCTTTTCGGTTTTTCGTTTCCTTATATGTTAGAGATCGTTTTCCTCCATCCTTCCTGCCCCMCCCCCCCCCCTCCTCAATCCTTATCGTTACACGTCACGAATTACCAATGCCGACTTTCTTTTACCAAACTGCGTGGAAGGAAACGAAGAAGAAAAAAAAGGAATAGAACTTTGTCCAGCATATGTGGTCCTTTTGCTTTGCGCTAAACCTCCCCCTCCCCCTCCTCTCCACTCTACTACTCGACCAACCCCCCCAATCACCCTCTTCACCTTCTCCTCTTCCCGTACCTCTTCTGGTCTTTTGAACTTTTCAACTTTTAGCGAATCCTCGTAGAATCTTACCCATAAAACTAGATTACTCGATCCTGGTTCGAAAAAAAAAAGAAGAAGAAGAAGAAAAAAGAAAAAGAAGAAAAAACGTCTTCTTCTTCCTTACGAAAGTTTATTATTCGTTTCCTTCAAACTCGATTTTAAACTTCAATTGACTTTGGTATTTTACTTTTCTTTTCTTTTTTTGTTCTCTTCATTTTGTTGTTAACAACCTTTTTTCTTGTGTTTCCTTTCTTTCGAATAAACCCGTTTACAAAAGGGGGTATGTATCTCTTTCTTGTAAATGTAAATGTTGTAATAATATTTAGTAACTTCGCGAAAGATAAAAGATAAAATATAAAATTAAATTTACTCGATATCATCCTTGTGGATTCTCTCGAGAAGTATAAGAAAAAAAGAATCATTTTCTTTCTTTAAGAAAGTTTATCATTCGATTATATTGCGAACTCGTCTTTAGCAATTAGATTTCTATCGACTTACGTACTTTTCTCTTTTTCTTCTTCTTTTTTTTCATATTAGTTACTTATTTTTATTCTCTATACACATTTATCTCATATAATTTCGTTGGCTGTTTCTTTGTTCCTAGATGTTAACGTTTCAATACAATCGTTATTAACCGATCAAAGCGAAATTTAAAAAGTAGAAAGATAAAATACAAACGAAAATTAAAAAAATATTTATTATGAAATTTTCCCAATCGGTAATTAACTTTCTCTTTGTAATGAAATAACGTTTTATTTAAATAATAACATATTTTAATACGTTCAACACACGATTGTAACGAAATTTGCGATTTATCAAACGATTCTAGTTTAACAAAGTAAAATATGACGATTGAAACGAAAAAAAATAAAAAGAAGAAGATAAAAGGGACAGGTTCAAAAAGTTCGTACAAATCGAGTGACTTTTTTTTTACTAACTCATGACCTTCCTATCTCTCTCTCTCTCTCTCTCTCTCTCTCTCTTTTTCTTACGTTGACAGTTTGTTAAAAAAAGAAGCAGCAGACACTTTTATGCACACATCATCCACAGAGAAGTAGAAATGTTTTCTACGTTCATTGGCTCGTGTCGTGAGCTCAAATACACGCGTTTGTTTATCTTTTCAGCGTGTACATTTTCTCATTCGTGGTTTGTTCCAAGGCGCGAAAGCGTTGACAGGAACGGTCTTCTCTCACCAAGCAAGAAGACAACTTACAACAAGATTAAATAAAAAGCAAAGAGAAAGAGAAAATGAGAGAACGGTGGAAAGGTTGCAAACTAAAAAACCGAGAAAACGAAGTGGAGCATTTCCGGAATACAGTTAAGTAAATTTCAAAAGTGGAAGAGAAACGTACACACTAAGAAATTAACGAGCATTAATTGCAAATTTTGTTTTCTTTTCTTTATTTTTTTCTTACGAACATTTCTCGAGATATTCCGTGATTATCCTCTCTCTCTCTCTCTCTCTCTCTCTCTCTCTCTCTCTCTCTCTCTCTCTTTAAATTTTGTTTTATTTAAAAATTTCATTGTTTCGAACGATTATTAATTAAACCTTTTGAGATTTTAATTTGAAAATAAGATATCAATTTTAAATTCAATAAATATAACACAAATATTACGTAAAGCTTTGAAACTTATATTTTAATATTTATTTTTAAATCACTAGGTTCATTTCACACAAAAAAAATTCATCTATATGCATATATATTTATAAAATATAAAATGTTTAATTATTCTGTAAATAAAATGAAAACATTTTATCTCCAATTTATTATAATTATTCATAAATATATAATAAAACTTAAAATGTGTATGCACATGTATTATATTCATCTTTTATAAATATAATTGTAATGAGATATTACGTTTGAAATCGAAAAAATTGGCAAACGCTTATATGAATTCATAATTCATGCTGATTATTTTTGATTTAATGATATTAAAACGATGAATATACGTACGTAAATGTAACGTGATTAAATAAAACAGTGATTAAAAATATGTATCATTGAGATTATAATAATATATAAATTTAAATTAAAAGAAATAGAAAAAAAAGAAAACCAAAAAGTAAAAGTTACAAACTCGATGGAATGTCGATAGAAAGAAGAATTTTGGAAGAGATTGTATCACAGAGCAACAGGTGTATACCGCTAGTAGTTTCCTCTCGATAGTATTAATGACGAACGATTCCTCGAAAGGTAAAACGAGTCGAGCTTTTACACAATGAAAGAAAACACTCGCGTCAAATTCCGCGAATAAAGACGAACGATCCTTAAAGCTTTTATCACCTCCCTTATTATTATTATTTTTTTTTTCTCTTTTCTGTATGGGGGACGACGGTTTATTTTCTCCTATTTTTTTTTTTATTTTTATTTTTATCTTATAATATTATATTAAAAATATTTCAATATTTTTGATCGATATAAGAAAATATTTGACGAGAAAAATACAGAACGGAAGAGAGATATAAAATAAAATAAGAAAAATAAAGGTATGAAAATTTAAAGGTCCCCATGGTCGTTCATTTCCCATGAATTTTGTAGTCGAAGAAAAACGTAATGATAGCATTGGGAGAACGTTCTTCCTTCCCCCACTCCCACCCCCACCCATCACCTCTTTTTACATATACCCAGAAGCCGTTTTGCAACGGAGATGAGAGAAAAATAAGAAAAAAAAAAAAAAAAAAAAAGAAAAAAAAGTAAGAGGAACTCACGACTACTCACGACGTTTTTCGTAGCCACGAATTTATGTCGATCGTAAAGATCATAATGACCGAGGGATAGGAAATATCTTGTTTGCGCAGAACACATTCCTTTTATTTTTTTTTTGTTTTCTTTTCTTTTTTTTTTTTTAATACAACCGAATGTCATATAATTTGAATATCTTGTTGGTTTTTCTTTTCATTTTTTCCTACGAACTTTTTGAAGAACTTTTACAATTAGACGCGCGAAGAAATATGTTACGTTAATGTGGTCAAAAAAAAAAAAAAGAAAACGGGAGAGAGAGAGAGTGAGAGAGTGAGAGGAAGAAATAAAATACGAAAGAAAATTAGTACGAATGATTTGACCGTAAAATTTCGAATCGAAATAATGATAACGAGTAAAATAAGTCAGTGAGATAATATACGATGGGATAAATCTTAATTTGTGATTTTTTTTTTTGTAGTATTGAAGTAGTATACTCTCGTTTTTATTACTATTCACCGGAACAGATCATTGACCCACAAAAAGATCGCTTATCTTCCTACTGATTAAAACATACTTTCGAAAAGAAAAAAAAAATAACGTTAACGAAGTAATTCCGCTCTCGTTATAACGAAGCATGCAATTTGCAAGTAAGTACACAATTAATTTCCATCGGGTAGAATAAGTAACATTGATTATCAGATTTTGGAATAAATCGATGAGTAACTTATTCTTTTACTTCCAATTAAATTTGCGATCGAATATTTTATCGTGACGCGAGATAAATAAAATCAAATAATAAACAGCAAAGAGAGAGAGAGAGCTATATATTTTGCCGAATAAATATCATTGATTCGTTTTTGAATAATTATGAAAATATATAAATATATATTTACTTTGTTATTAAACAGATAAAAACTTATTGAATTTAAAATATTAACTTTGCGTCTCCCAATTCATGATCTTGCAAAACACGAGTATTGAGGAGTAACAGTCATGCGGTATGAGACCCCATAAAAAGTCATAAATAAAATCCAACGGTCGTGATTCAGTCCCGCGTCTCTAAACCATTCGTCCTTTTATATTTCTTTCCATTTCCCTTTCTCTATCTTTCGTTTTGCCCTTTACTTGGTCTCTCTCTCTCTCTCTCTCTTTTCGTTCACTTTCTATGCCAACTCATCCTCGTGTTTTTGTGATTTGTTCCCCGTATTAAAAGCAACCGACCTCGCTAGACATTTTCTTTTTTTATTTCTTTATTTTCTTTTTTTTTTATGTTTCCTTCGTAAATTGTCCCATTCCCCCCTTTAACCATGCTTCAACTGTATCCGTCGACATTCATTCGACCCATTCCTTCCATCACTACCACCACCATCACCACCACCACCTTCCTTTAAACTTTCTCACTTCCTCTTATTTTTCTTTTTTTTCTTTTTTTTTTGCGATTGAACCCTTTTAAAAGAGTCTCCTTTTATTTCTTATCCGCGACACAACGATCCTCAGTATCGTTATAACTCGTCTATATTTATTTCATAATATCTTTCTTTCATTTATCCCAAAATAATTTCTATGAGAATATCTTAAATGAATACGGGGGGGTGGGGGGTGGTGAGATGAAAACAAGTTTATATATTCCAATGATCAAACGAAATTATAAAAAAAAAAAGAAGAAAGAAATGTAACCAACCCTACCCCCTCCACCCACCCACCTACCCTCCTACCTTCTTTGCACTATCGTATCCAACTTTAAAGTTAAACATTTATTCGTAATTTTAGGTAACAAATTGAAACGAATTGATCTGATCCTTCATTCC